GAACAAATAAAATTAACTCGAATATAACGTAATAACAGAGAAGGTGAAAATAAAATAAAGTTAAAGAAGTTTGGTATAATCACACAACGACGGGACAAACAAGAGAGTGGTACAGATTTATGAACCCATAAGAGATGGAATGAGGAAAAGAACGAAAATACATAAACATGACGATAACAAACATTAAAAGAAAAGAATTACAAAATTCACTCCCTACCTTTCATCGAGTTTCGATTTAGACCGTATAAATGTGAACCGTGTAAAGTACAAAATTTCCACCCCATCCATTAAGTGAAGTCTTTGTGAAAAACAATATAAGGTACCTTACGAGAATTGTAGGCTATCGTTACTTATATAATTTACGAACTGTATTTATGTAATTTTTTATAGTGGACACCTTCGGCACCATGACATTTCGTGCTGGTTAGGTTAGACCCCCTCCCGCCGGGCCGGATTTTTTGACCTCCGGCTGGACCGGACCGTCGGAAGGTAGAGCACGGGAGTAACCAGACATACGCAGCACACACAAACCTCCTCCCGAGACATTCCCTTCAGGCTTCCTTCCCCGTCTAAAAAAAAGCCAACACATAAAAGTTTAAGATCGCGTGAGCTCGGACCAAGAGAAGGGTGGGGGGAGGTAAATGAGAGGATGGAAAGTTCACACAGTAATTACACGTTAACAGGGAACCTTTTACGGCAAATTATGTTTTACATAAATCGTGAACATTATGAAAAATTCTGGTGGTTCTGTGGGATTATGTAGAGTTTTGTGGTCTTGTTGTAAAAAAGGACTTTTCACACTTACAAACCAAATAAAAACTGTTCATTATTTATTGTATGTACAATCTCAAGTTAAGCTCCGAACCTGTTATTTAGGGCAACTCTCTACATCCAGTCTGTACTTGCCAGTAAAACTCCGCAAATATCCAAAGTTTGATTGAAGAGAGCTAATTGTTCACACGCGCTTCAATTGGGACCCATCCTTAGTACGCTGTCTACCGGTCCGGCGGCAATGTGTTCGAGTCAACGGAAACCACCATATTGGGGGAATTCGATATACTGTCCTACCTTTCTTCGGAGACACCATAGAGACGTCCTGATTAACGTTCGACTTACAACTCTTTCCTTGTATAGAGTCTAACTAATGTTGGTCTAATTTGGCTGTCGCGGAGTCCCCGTTTGCTAGAGAGGCGATGTGAATGTGGTACCTTTACGTATGTAAATTTGTTTGTCTTATTTCCGTACCCAGCATAAAAAGGGAGTCGCCTTTTTCACGTAATCATAGAAAGAAAAGAGCGGTCCAAGATAAACCTTAAACGCAGTCTCGGTGTCGAAGGGAAGAGGCACAGACCTTGTTCCGGGCCTAGTCCAAAGAAGTGGAGGCTCGACTCTTTAGGTAGCGGTCGCTGGAAATGCCGTCGGGTGGACTCCTTTCCTTCCGCCTCATCGGTCTAGCGTGTGGTAGGTACCTGTATTCTTCCTACTTAGTTTAGTTAGAAATTAAACATATCGGGTTATAGGTTGTGTGTGCAATACAGAGCAACCCAAAATCTAAGTTTGTGTATTGTTGTAACATTTACTACCTCATGTCGTTTTACTTTCTGTTCTACACATACATTACTTTATGTTTTATTTAATTCTATTGTTGTTTTCTGTAGATTTAGTAATTTTGTAAGTTTATATTTTAGTAGTTTTATTGTTGGGTATTTTACACTCGAGATTGGCTTCCGAAACAATTTTTACCATTCAGAAGGTAGGTGAAAGATTTTCATTCTTTTTTGTCGAGTACTAATACAGCTGATAATTACTAAGTGATAAATAGCCTGTCACACGTGGTTTTTTTATCAAAGAGATGTTCTAGTCCTTTTTGGTGTAAACTAGAATAGAAATGGTATTGACACTAGTCTCCACTGAAAAATTAAGGAAGTTTTACTGTTTCGTAAATATGTTTTTTTTACCGCAAATTATTTCTGGAAACCAGTTTTTGTTGGAATAGCAGTGAACCTTAATTTAAGAACTTGAAAATATATAAGAGAAAAATAAAAGAATTTATATCCAGAGAAAAATCAAACAAAATAATAAATAATTGACAAAATTAAAAATACATTTCGTGCACTTACGGAAACAAAGATTTTACACGTATATATCGTTGATTTGAATTGGCATATTGTGATGTTTACATGGTATATTAATTTTATTTGTTAGTGAGAAATTTACGTCGTTTGCCGAGGGTTGTCGAAAAAATACAAGGTCGATCCACGTGCTAAACCCCTTTATTACATTAACGCTAAAAGACGTCTATAACGCTAAGCTAACGCATAAAACACAAAACGCGGGTTGCCTTCAAAGACATTTTACGCCGGTATCGCCTACACAGCAGCGCTTCTCGGCTAAGAAACTTGCCAGAAACCATGCTTGCCTCCGTCGCTTGGGCTCACAGAACGCACTCTCGGCAAGAAAATAGCAAAGTTAGCAGACCAGGTGTGAGTTTTTGGTGAGCGGAAAATTTTCGAACTAAAAAAATTAGGGGGTTTGCAAAACCACTTCCCTGGGCGGGGATGAACTAAACCATCCAAAGTCGTGCTCCCACTCTACCCACCCAAGAATGCCTATGCGCGCTCCTCTCAGTATTGTCCACCATGTCCTGTCCATCGGCTGCACAAAAGCCTACCTTTACTCGTTCACTTTTGCGTCGTCGTAAACCCTACGGAAAGTGTTTTGACCGATATCACTATTTCACGTGTAAACAGTTCCGTTTATAGGAAATTCGTCCCAGTTCTTATTTATAGGTAGCGGTGAATTGTGTCATAGATTATAATTCCAACCACCGTAAGGAAGTTCCGTTGAAATAAATGACTGTGTATGCCCTCCCAGTAAGTTCACCGAAGGACTGTACTACTGTACCGCGGGGAACACAGTACAAAATGTCGGCTAATAACTGTAATCAGACCTTAGTCAGTATGTAATAGGACCCAATAAAGCGTCTATTTTGGATCATGGGCGAGGGAAAATTTTTGCCGAGAAAACTGCCGAGAAACTCCTGCCTCGTATTCTAGGCCAGGGAAAGTTTCCGGTATTAAAGGGTAGTGATCGCCGGATAGAGGCCGATCCTTCCAGCGTAGTGTACGAAGGCAGAGATCGTGGGGCGTCGGGACTCGAGCTCACTTCTTGAAGAATGTACTTAAGGCAACCCAAACAAAAGTGGTCTGGTAACATCCTTTCGAGGTAACCGTAAAGTTTTGCTGAACCGTCCACTAACCAGTAGACAGATATGGAAGAAGTACCCGTGAATGACTAAGCAATTGTTACTGACCATGTACACATCGTGTGCGTGAAGACAACCACATCTACCTGGACCCTGTGTGTTCTTCTTGTCCAGAAACCTAACTATTAAGCTAAATTCAGCTAATAGCGATCGGGATCAAGTCGGCTTGTATGAGCATCTACTGCCGTGTACACGCCGAATTGGAAATAAATATTTTTGATACGACACTTACTAAAACGTAGTGGACAGCTGATAGAGGACGTTCACAACGGCCTCGTGCTACCCTGCAGGAACTCCACGAGGTGAAGGACTGCATCTCGCCCGTGAAGGAGGACTAGAAGGTACAAGAACCAGAAGGAGGCGGCTACCCTACTTCGCTCGCGGGAAGGAGCTACTCCCCAACCCGTGTTCCACCACCTCCCACGAGGGGGCAGGAGTCTCCTTTACAGGACAATCACTCCTATTGGAGTGTCTGCACCGTTAAAGTTCTTAGTACTGGACCAAGACTTCTAGCAGGCATCTGAAACAACAAGCCAAATAACACCTGGTTTTAAATCATACAAAATCTCATACTGCCTGTGCTGCAGCACCTCTTTTCACCCTCTGTCTGAAACCAGAGCCCAGTCTGCTCTGGTTGGTTAGCTGGCCGGCTCTGTTGTGATTGGTCCACCAGCTTTGAGATGTCCCGCCCCTTAGGCTATCACGTACAATGTGCTGGTGCGTTAGCGGAAGTGTTACATGATGATGTCACTGTGTTACTGAAGTAAACAAAGGAGTACAATGGAGGCGTTTCAGGCAGGGGGGGGGGGAGAAACTCCCCAGTAGGAACTTTGGGATTTTAGCTTCTGCAAACCATTTACATGCACAAAAACCTACATAACGCAGGAAAGCGAAAACACAAAAAGCATAATAGGGCATCTTTGAATTAAATAGCTTTTTAGTACTACACATCACATTAGTAATATCAATGATTGTCACATTATCTGTGAAGCAGAAGCAGCCACAACATGCAGTTATTTGTGCTGTAAATGATGCCGAGGGGAGGAGCCACACAGCTGTCCTGGCACCGCCTCTTTTACTCCACCTCTCCTCCTCCATCTGATCAAACCTGATGACTCCAACAAGGACGATGCGTTCTGCCATCATCTGTGTTCATGTGACGGGATGCTCTACGCGGTATGTCATTCTTTCTCTTTTTGTTATGACAATCTATCATTGTTTTTGTAGAAGTTTCCTATTCATGTCCTGCTTCATGGTAAAATACATAAATACGGGAGGTGGGAGAAGTACTGAGATCTTGTACTTGAGTAAAAGTAGAAGTACCAGAGTGTAGGAATACTCTGTTACAGTAAAAGTCCTGCATTCAAAATGTTCCTCAAGTGAAAGTAGAAAAGTATTATCATCAAAATATAGTGAAAGTAGCGACAGTAAAAGTAGTCGTTGTGCAGATTGGTCCATTTCAGAATAATATATATGATATGTTTTATAATAATTGATCATTAAAGTGTTCTCAAAGCTGGTAAAGGTGCAGATAGTTTGAATGACTTTGTATACTGCAGGGTAGCTTGTGGATTTACTCCAGGTGGAACTAAAGTCTGATTTAACACTTGATTAGATTTCACATCATTCATCCACATCTGTAAAGTAACTAAAGGGATTAAATACATGTAGTGGAGTAGAAGTACAAAGTAGCATAACATTGAAATACTAAAATAAAGTACAAGTATTTTAAAATTGAATTTAAGTACAGTACTTGAGTAAAGGTACGTCACTTCCTACCTTAATACATTTGACTATGCTACTTCATGTGTTTTTTCCTTGTCACACGAATAGACATGGATGCATACTCCATATGTAAGGAGATACAACATGAAACAAATCGCAGCACCTGTAAAGAAACTAGAAGATCAAAACAAAACGGAAACACTGAGATCAAGAATACTATTGTTTATCTTCTCTGCTTGTTACGGAGGATACATTACCTCGCAGTAAAAGGCTGTGCTTCTGATTGGCTACCGTGACATCTGCACCTCACAAAGACTTCACACTTTTTGTCGGTGTGTGTGTGTGTGTGTTTATTACAATAATCACTAGCACAAGGGAATGTACCAGAGTTTACTTGGCCACATCTGGACAATACTTTCTTTAAGCCTTCTGCTGAACACAGGCGGTAATCTCTTTAAATCCACTCTGTTCCTTAGTGTTTCTCCGATTAATATTGAGGATTAGTGATAATCCTTACATGTCAAACTAACTGAAGCAGTGACTGTTTAGCACACTTAAGACTGATGAAAGCTCATGTCATGATAAAGAGGAGAAAACGCAACAAAACAAGTCCTTTAGAAAAGCTTATTACTGCATTTTACTTGCACGATTTTTTCAATTGCACTATTTTATTTCATTTAAATCTTAAGGTGCCTATATTGCATGTAGCATTTTTGGGAAACATCAACAATGAACCTACATTCACTGCCATTAAGGCTCATACACACGAAATGTGATTGATTTAAAGGTCCAATGTCATGCTTTTCCGGTTATCAGACTCTATGGTTATTACCCGTCCCCTTGTGTGTTATGAAGGTTTTTCTGCTTGTAAACGGTCTGCAGAGTCAAAACCCTCAAAGTACACCCTGTAGCGAGTAAAACTCTAACACAGAAAAGACCTCCCCAAAACGCCTCGTTGGAGATTTCTCATTTTCCATTGTTTACTTCTCGGTTATAGTGACGTAACTATTTGGACCAATCCGCGGACTTCCTCACACACACACACTCGGCGGGACGTTGCGAGGCTCGCTGCTGCGAGGAGCTGGACACTGTCTGTGTGGGGTTGGCGACACACCGCGGAACTCAGCCTGGGCACGCACACAAACTCCCAGCCAGGCTGCGGGTGTGTGTGTTCGGGATGGTTTCGCTGTGTCTTGCTGTCTCGCAGACGGCCACTGGGCTCACAGGGAGAAGGAACAACTTACAATGATCTTAGTCTAAATGTAACAAGTTAACAAGGTTTGAGTAGTAAACCAGAGAGTTTGTCGTAGAGACATATCATACACATAAGTTAGAGGACAAGATTTACCGAACAACCTTCGAGCGAAGGACGGNCACTCAGGGCTTTTTGGAGTAGATCACATCATGACCTACTACAAAAACCTAGGGGTACGCAAAGATGATTTCAGTCTAGCAAGGGTAACATCAGCAGAGGTACTCCTCTGCTGATGTTACCCTTGCTAGACTGAAATCATCTTTGCGTACCCCTAGGTTTTTGTAGTAGGTCATGATGTGATCTACTCCAAAAAGCCCTGAGTGGGAGGGTAATTTATTTACAAGAGTTGTGGCTATGTTTGTGAAAAAAAATGTCAAGTACTTGGCCACGTCCAGTTTGTCTGTGATGAGCCTGTTATCTGTCTTTATGTTTAAGTTCGAAAATCTCGTTTTGAGTTTTTTACTGCAGCCAAGCTGGTTATTGAGTAATGTCCAAAGTTCACGGGGTTTATTTTTGTTTTCCTCAGTTTTGACATTGATGAAATTCTTTTTGGCAGTTTTGATCATGGAGTTTACGTCATTTCTTAGTCTGTTTCTTTCAATTTTTAGTTCAGTCACGTGGGCCAGGAGTTCACTGCTCGTGCTTTTGGAAATCATTGACTGACTTTTATGAAACTCAGAGCATTTTTTGTCTCTGGTTTTCATGGCGGTCAGTATGCCGGAGTGCATCCACGGCTCTGCGCGATTTTTTACCCTGGTTGTTCTTAGGGGGGCCAAATCATTGAGTATTGCAGAGAATTTATTTTTGAAACCAAGCCATGTTTCTTCAACTTGCGTACCACCGAGCTCATCTGACCAGTCCAGGCTCTCCTGTTCTAGGTTAAAGGCCTCGCTAGAGTAGTTTTTCAGGTCTCTAGATATGACTGTTTTGTGACAGCCGGCCTTTTGTTTTAGCCTTTTGCGGGTACAGAATATCATATAATGATCACTTAAACCACATGCTATAACCCCTTTACTGGAGATCTTGGACTTGTCAGGTCCGTGCAGAAAGCAGAGCAGTGTGTAAAATATATATCACTCAGTATCAGTATACATTACTCTCTGTATTTGTATGCTGTAGTTTAGTAGATAACTACAAACAAAGAGTCGATATGTTTCTAAGACCATTTAGTGCTTCACATAATAAAATACACAACGGGTGTAGCCTGATTATACTTTAAGAGCTGTAGGTGTGTGTGGTAGGCTACAGTGTGTATGCGGCGGACAGACGGGTCTCAGTTGGTTTGGTGTCCTATGCTTACTTTTATACTTNTATATCCAGTCTCTGATTGTGTTACGTTATATATGAGAGTGCTCTCATACTTTAAATTGTATATATTTCTATAAATATATTTGTGCGTGTGTCCTCGCATCTGTAGCCTGTTATTGTCTCATTATACCGCACTGTCAATGAATTAAAAGTAAATATATAAGTCGTCATGAACACATCTGTCCATCCATGCCTCCTGTCATCATTGATGGACGTCTCTTTAAAATGACAGCTCAGAGGAGAGGAGTTCTCATTTCTCTAACCGCCTGCTGCTTCCCCTCCTCTCTCCTCGGTTCCCCTCCTCAGTCCTCCGCTCGCATCTCCTGTGGGCGGGACTAAGTCTCGAGGATAGGAGTCGAGGAGGGGAGTCGAGGAGGGGAAATGTAAAATATTGTACATGTGAAATAGTTGTATGTATTGATTTAAATTGACATGCATCCGCTAAGAAAAATAGTCCGTTGTTACGGTTTGAACTAACGTACCAACGGCACTGAACATATTACATATTACCTACCATATTACGTTATATACTTCTTACCTTCGATTTCTCTTATTCTTCTCCTCATTCGTCTTTGTATTTCTTCAAGTTTGTATTGTATTTCTTCAAGTTTTTATCTTGTTGGTCGAATGCACTTAAGCGTCAGCTAAATGCAATGTGTAATGATCAAAAAACCCCTCTATACTCTAGACAGCGTGGGTCAATTACCGTACAGCCAATCACAATGCGTGACGTCATTGACGTCATTACGTCGTGACGTCGTACGTCGTGACGTCACTGGTAAGAGACGGACCCCGAACACATATGGTACCCCGAACACATCTGGTACCGACAACGGCGTATACTGCCGCCCAAAATCCCCGGCCGGAAGTCCCCGGAGTTAGGGACTGGCTCCCAGCAGCTTCTACTGAAGCCTTCCGAGTAAACGGCCAGAACGCCGACACCTCCTCATCTCCACCGCTCCCATGTTTTATTTTGTGTTGACATAAGTTAGTCTCTCTGCATTTCTGCGCTGGGCTAATGCTAATGCTAAAGCTAATAATGATAATAAAATGGCAGCTTCACAAACGTTTTTGGGAGTTTGACGGGGCGTGGTTTGCATTCCGCCCAGCCAATCAGACACAGGAACCTTTTTCTCCCACGAAAGTCCCTGCTCTCTAGCAGGGACTGAAAAGGGGGTAAAAAAGGTTCTCTAGAACTANTCCGTTTGGTTTTGCATTCCGCCAGCCCAATCAGGACACAGGAACCTTTTTTTCTCGCCACGAAAGTCCCTGCTCTCTTAAGCCAGGGACTGAAAAGGGGGGTAAAAAAGGTTCTCTAGAACTAATTGAGTTCCTGGGACTTTTTGGTGTGAACGAAACTAAATCGAAGTTCTCAGGAACCTTTGTGGGAAAAGTACTTGGTGTGAACGCGCCTATAGAGTTCTTTTTAACCAAATCTCTCTCAGAGGCGCGTGGGGAGGGGCTCCTTATTTTCATCTAAAGTAACAGACAGAAAATCAGCACTTTGGAAACAGGGCTGAAACAGAGGGGATTATGGGATGCTGCAATGATCTGTTTGGTGTTTCAGCCAATCAGAGACAGGCTCTGTATATATCTGAGACCTGTGATATATTCATGAAACACAGTATAATAGGGAACCTTTAAAGCATGTCATGTGTTTTTGAATAGGCCCAGCAGTAGTTTAGTGTATTTGTTTATAGTGCCGTGGACAGTCCCCATTGATCAACTGTCACACAAAACAGTAAACGGGGCAGCTTTAGCTAACATTGCTAATTTCCAGCTGTTGTCTCCGGCCAGATGATAATGGATACCTTTTTAAAATCACAATACATCAACAGCATTAGTTATAAAGAAAGGATGAAAGACAAGTTCTGTACCGAGCAGGTGTGAGTGCAGCGTGGTGAGCACCAGCAGCAGTTTGCTGTAGACTTGTGAAGGAGTGGACCTCTCCTCCTGACTCTCCTCCAGACTCTGCAGAGCCAGGACGGTTCCCTTCTCCTGCTGCTCCGTCACCCGCACCGACAGGGAGGGGAACATCACCAGCGGCTTGAGCATGTTCTTCAACAGCACCTGACCTGCAGGACAACGACAGACACCATCACTGAGCACACTCTGACATGGATACATCGTGCTTCAGGACGCAGTATTTTCCTAAGAAACATGGTACTTAATGATCACATATCACTTATTAGAAGTGACTCTCTCTTGCTTACAAGAAAAAAATATCCTTTACCGGAAATATGAATCAAAAAGTTCACAGTGCAAACATTAGCTAAGCAACAGTGTTTGATATGTAACCGTGTACTCGAGCTGGTTCTTACTGAACAGTTTGATCTTGTGCTGCAGGTCTCCCTGGATGGCCAGAGCCTGCAGGACGGAGCACAGCACAGCAGGAGGTCCGGGCTCTTCATCTTTACTGCACGAGTGGCTCAGGTTCAGCTCCACTTTCAAGAAGGACTTCAGATCTGCAGGCTCTGCTGGGACACATCCAACAGTCACTTACAAAGCATCACACTCAGATACACTTGCTATAATATATTTTTAAATACGCAAAAACAGAATAAGCTAACAGCTCATTGACAAGTTGATTAAATGCGCCAGAGGGGTCATGAGAAAGTGACCTTATATACTGTATATCTGTAATATGTTAGCTATAACAAAAGGACGAATGGGGGGGGGGGCATGACTGGTAAGATACGTGTGGGGTCCTTTTGTCTGGGGACCACTATGCGATTGACTGCTTGAAAGCAAGGTAGTGTTTCTCATTATTGTGTTTGTTGTCCAACAAAATAATTATTAATCTCAACTATATTTGTGTTTTATTGATCTCTCTCTGTATTATTCTTTCATGTTGTGAGTAGGGATGCATACCGGTATCCGGTATTACCGAAATACCGGTTACTGGTGGCTACTGTATACCGTACCGAGATCAGATCCGGTTTCGTACTTTAAAAAAATATATATTT